GCACACATTTGGTCAAAGAAACCACTTCACTTGTCTCTTTGACGAGTGGTTGGGCGGTGCTAAGACTGGCAAGGCTGACTGACGATGCCGACGAAAAGTCTGAGAATGTACCAAGTCCACGGTCCGAGTCTGGAAATGCTCATGCTTACAATGGACAATGCCATTGTGACCAAGTTGCGAGAACAAGGACAAACAACTTGTCTGCAACGAAAGGAGACCAAGAGCATACAAGAGACCACACCACCCTGGTCTTCACATCTTCGCTTTAACTGTAAAGTTTGTGTCTGTACCAAACCGTCGAAGGGGTTCTGTCTGAGAAGGGCATGAGCACAATTTGTGCATGCATTTTGTGGTTTGTCTGAGCAACTCTGACTTGGGCTGGGCACAACATGAGCAAACCGACTAAGAGCAGAAGTGACGAAGGACGGGTAGTTGCTTTTTGCCACAATGGTACCCTTTTGGGTTGCTGGTGGGACGGTTGCGAGGAGGAAACTGCTCTCCGCTTCTGTCTGGATGAGGACACCTTTTGGGAGGAGCAAGGTCATGTGAACTCGAATGGAAACGCCGCTCTACTCAAATCCGATTGTGGCAACAATCAGCTCCCAGTCGGCCTTGACCGGCTTACTCGAAAGAGGGTGAGTTCAACTCATAAATCTGCTAAATCTGATAAACTGGCAGTCTCGAAGACCGGCACTCACTTTGGAAACAATCGCACACAAGTCAGCCTTACTTGGCAGTGCAGAGGAGAGAGACAATTGCGGCGCACCCATCGCACGTTTTGGTAGAGCCGACGTTGAGCAGTCGTCAGCGTCGACAGCATTGGCCTCGCTTCTATCGGCTTCAAGCAGCACCGCTCCGACGGTCCGACGGTCCGACTCTGCCCTCTTCACGGACTTGACGATTTGGGGCTGGTCGTGACTTGGCAGAGCGCCACCGTCAGACCGCCACGAGGACGGCTTTGTCGGTCATCGACTCTGCGACTCATTGTGCACATTTGAGCACAACCATTTCTGCCTATGCCTGCCTGTCTGTCTGTCTGTCTGTCTGTCTGTCTGTCTGTCTGTCTGTCTGTCTGTCTGTCTGTCTGTCTGTCTGTCTGTATGTCTGTCTGTCTGTCTGTCTGTCTGTCTGTCTGTCTGTCTGTCTGTCTGTCTGTCTGTCTGTCTGTCTGTATGTATATATGTATGTATGTCTGTCTGTCTGCCAACACACGCACAGATCGGCTCCACTTGTTGAGCACACTTGCACAATCAGCTCTTTTCCTCCTCCTCCTCCATTCGGCCACTCTACACACGCACACTCGCTTCTGTGCCACCCTCTCAGACCGAGTACACACTCACACTCAGCCGAAGTAGCAACGGCAACGGCAACTACGGCGCCAAAGTGCGCGTTGTCTTGTCAGGCCACGACTGAGCGACTGGCAGGAAAGGTAGTCGGGCGGAATGGGTGCACTTTTGAGTTGTCACTCTCTCGTCTCGTCTAAAAGTGTTGCCGAGAGACGACTTCTACAGACGTGGCCTCGCACAGCCTCTGCGACTGGCCCTCGTCGAGTGGCGTCGTGGAGCGCCGGCAGCAAAGGCCTCGCGTCCGAGCCGCGACGGAAGCTGCGCGACATGACGTTGAGGCGATGCCGCTTGGCTGCCTCGGAAGCTGACGAGATCTTCTTCCCGATCCGACGCGCAGCGACAACCTCCGTCCCTCCGGAACCGGAGGCAAGGCGGACCGGTTCGAAAGGGTACGTCGAAACGAGCCAAGCAATGCAGGACACGATTCTGGCTGCTTGCGCCCGGCTCAAACGAAAGGAAGAAAGCGGGGCTCGTGCACGGGAACCTCTCGATGCTTCTGAAAAGATGCGCCGACTGCTGCTCGGACAAATCTAGCTTGGAAAGTGGGCGCAGGTCATGCCTGAAGGCGATCCCTTCCAGCACTTTTCTGTTCAACCCGCGCTGGCGAAAGGTCTCGGTATGTACCGTGTCGATGGTCCGTGGCCGAAAAGTAGCATGACTACTCGGACCGAGGACGCAGTAGGACTGGGCAACTTCTACTCGGTTGCCCTGTCGCACTGTCGCCCTGTCGCCCGGACCAAGTTACCAAAACGAGGTCCAACCAACAGATTGTGGCCAAGCTCAAAGTGATAGCTTCTTTGTTTGGGAAGAGAGAGAAAGAGGTTCCTCGTCAAATGGTCGAATTTGAGTTATGGTGGAATAAACAATTAAATGTTTTTCGCATTTAAGTATTCTTTCGAGACAATCAGTAAATAAGTAATATGGCATATATTCACCCAATTTTGTGTAAAGTGATGAAGGACTGGTAGAAGATTTGTCCCACAATGGAAACGTCAGCTCTACTCACATCATTGTGGGAAAATGCTTCTAACAGTCCTTCAATACCTTAAACGAAATAGGGTGGATACATCTCAGATTAAATGTTTTCTTGATAAAGTAGTTCATGAGGCGTCTAGAGGATTAAAGAGGAATAAACAAGTTGGGTCAGATAGAGTCGGGAAATGATATATTCTGCAGTTGGATATGACCATTCCAGGAGTCACTACGACGCCATCCCACAGAGGCATAAGCACCACCCTGGTTCACTCAACTCTTCTCTAAAATGGGCAATCAAAGTGATCAGATGCCCTAAAGCCTAGCTTCATACTGGGTTGGAAATAATATCTTTCAGTCGCAAATTCAATGGACAGTTGAAGACCCTCTTCGAGTTTTAGGTCTTTAAAGAGCAATTGGCCAAATTTGCATCCACTCAACAATCCAAACTGAACGGAGCTAGTCTAATTATTTCATTTTGTAACTATATACATTCGGCAAAAATGTTTATCTGAGGTTTCCATTAGTTTCAAGTTGAATAAATGTGCTCGAATGTTGACTGGGAAATTTAGCTGACATTTATTTTAATCGAGAAGATCAGATAAAATATCAATTTGCTTTACGAATGCCCCGCCCAATATTGTCTATCTACTCCTCTGCATTTCGAGCTACCCATGCGACGATCTCTTTGAGGCGAGAGTGCACTTTTTCGTGAGTGAGTAGGTTTTTTCATGAAACGAAATGGGGTGGAAACAACTCAAATATCTGATTTACTGGTAGTCTCGAGAACCTAATCACTCACGGAAAA